CCAGTGATTCTTTGAGTTACTGTTGCTTTCCTGTCTGCTTGAAGCAGTCTGCCACTCTCCTCTAATCTTGGATATCATCAAGGCACTTTCTCCTGGAGAACTGCTGCCCACTGGGCATTTTTGTATCGGACCACTCTCTCTAAACTTTAGTTGTGGTTTTTTGTAAAAGCCCAGTAGATCAGCAGTTTTTTAACTACTCATAGCAGCCAGTCTCACACCAATAACAATGTGACATTCAGAGTCATTTAAATCGCCTTTCTTCTTCATTCTGAAATATTTTTATTGACAAACAACTGAATAGGTGTTTCTAATATAGTACCATTTACATGTAGTATAATTTATCACAAAAATAGTCAGTTTAAATGTATAGTTTTGCTAAATTTGACTTTGGTGCACAGTTCTTAACAATGGAAAACACTAAAACAGAGCTTATAACAATGTTATTATTGAACGGATGCTCATCCATTCCATAAAGTCACCAGGCAGGTTATAAATGTTATTCACAGATTTTAACACTTTTCAACATTTTAAAATGAGAAAACAACTAATTTGAGATCTGATGTACTTTTATGGATCTACATTAACCTAGTTTTTATGAGCTTGTTTTTGTAGTTTTGTGGTTTTGATAGCTACTCATTTCCAAATTCCTTGTCTCAGAAGGAAACTGAACATTGATAATTAGCAAGAATATATTCATGCTTGTGAATGTTCTCTATAAAAAAAAGTGGATCAGAGACTAAAAATAGCAGTGTAGTGTCTGGCTACAAAAGTAAGAATGAAAAAATATGATACATGTGCTTTCTGGGAAATTCTTCAGCTTCTTGTTTTGGTTTTACATTATCGCTAGGCTAAAATTGCTCTTTTTTTAAAATAAATATTTAACGTTTCTTTGGCCTTGGACTGTATATTTTAACTGTGTTCACCATGAGAAACATTTTACTTTGAGAAACTCCCTTTCTAAAAGGAAAGAAAAGGAAAGAGATTTTACATCCCCAAGGACAGAGGAGGAGTTTGTGCTGTGGTGAGGAAACAACATTTGGTTTCTAACACTTGCAATTTGATGAATCACACTGTTAGCACTGGAAAGGCACAGAAAAGAAATATATATAAACTATTTTTAATACTATCATATTATATCCAACTATAATTTATACATTAGCCTTACTTTCAATTACTATGCATGGATATTTCTTTTCATAGTTAATTGTGCAGGTAAGGCAGAAGCATGAATTTCCATGCAAGAAGAGTCACGTTGCCTGCCGTCACACCTCTTTGTCTGCAGAAGCGGGTAGGAATCTTATATGGATTTGTTTTGTATTGTCTCCCTCTGTGTTAGCGAAGGGCTGCTTTTTGTTTCTGTTTAGTGTTCTAAATTTAAGCTGTTTTTCCAGATGGTGCTGGATTAGATCCGGTCTCCCGTGACCACTATGTAAAGGCTTACAATGTTTAAAACTTCTCAAAGATTTAATCTTCATAAATGTTCTGCTCACATATGGTGTTCACAGTGGCTGTGCTATTGTTACTTATTTAAATTGAGATATTTGCAGTACTTTGTTAAAAAAAAGAAATTGTACCATAAAACACATTCTTGCTATTAATTATACATCAATACTACAGTAGCCTTTTGAAGATGTTAAGATGTATTAAAAGCAGAAAGTAGCCCGCACTTTCATATCACAAATGGAATCTGGTGAAGTGTCACTTTTCTTTAATATGGAATATCAGTGCTGAACAAGGGAAAGCAGGGATGTTCATACTTTAATTTAGACATCAGTACAAAGTGTTTCAGTATCTTATAGGATGTATCTAATTAAAATGTAGACTGTTCACAAGCAAAACCACAATTACATATTTTTAAGTTTAATGTGAAATACCTGAGCCCAGTCCTCTAGCAGCCACTGTAATTTACAAAGTAGCAACTACAGCTTCCCAGCAGGCTTATCAGTGTTGGCTGATAACATTTGGCTGGTGTTCTAATTCATCTCCTTATTGTTGCACACTGACTCCACCGGTCTAAAAAAAAAACTTTCCAAATGATCTAATTCCTTCTAGGTCTCGGGACAATAGTAACGTTTTGGATATGTAATCTTATAAGTGATGATCCAGTTGTAAACAGGTTTACCTACCAGAAAGGAGGTTTTCTAATAATTTTAAACTCTTTATTTTCAAGTTTTATTTTAGTGGATAGCTAAGAGAACTGTTCTCTGTCGTTTTCTTATATAGACGAGGCTGGAGGCCAACTTTTTACCACCACTCAGTGATATAGCTGCAGCTGTGGGAGTGCACTTCAAGGTTTAACCAGAGAAGGCTAATTGGTAAAATGGATCACTCTGTCCTGTCCTTGAGATAAGAAGGTCTAATAGAGAAGTTTATGTTCAATAAGACTATATTTAGTGCTGCATACCCAGTATCTGGACTTAGTCTTCCTGTTCCAGACTCTTTTTTTTTCTTTTTTACTTTTCATCACAGACCTTTATGACACAGCACGATGTGTTCTCACCCTTGTGATACAACTCTTGAAATCAACAGCCTTGTTGCCATCATAGTTTGATAAATGCAGCTTATATTGGGAAATTGTGCCAGTGTATCCTCAACAGTAATTTGGTGGATCAGTAGTGGCTCACCACCTATTCATATGTGTAAGTAAGTATACATATACGTGTATAAATAGTAAGGTTGCCTTAATTTGGACTTACTATGCAGATTTTTTAAGTGAATTGAAAATTTTACTATTCCAACTTGAAAAGAAAATAGCTGTCTCAGTGCACCACATGCACTGATCAGACAGACTACTGGCAGTTGAAGTTAGTAGCAATGACCATTTTTACCGTTATTCACATTTATGTGGATTTAACTTTTATAAATCAGAACTATATATATATGGATACAGTTTTTGTGTGGCAGCATCAGTTTTTTTTAGCTTTAATTCATTCAGATAAATATAAGATCAAACTCAAAGTCTTCACACATGTAAATGCACTTTTCATAGCATCACTTTAACTGGCATCTCTCCTTATAACTGTACCCATAACTTTTGCTATACTGAGTAAATTGATACTTTTAGTTAGGAAGTCATGGCACTTTCTTATTTTCCATAGGAGAAAAAATATTCTCCAGGTAATTTTCTCTGTTTTTGCACACTGTAACACATAAGTTGTTCTTGATTGGCATGACAGACATGAAGGAAAACATAAATGTTTCCAGATGAAAACGTGGGCTTTTGCATCAAGGTTACCTGCTCATGGCTGCAACTCTGTGTTTACTGATAAAGGCATCAATGGCTCCTGCAGCAGGGTGTGTGGCCTTGTCTTTTATTGGAAACACTTTACTAATGATTAACGGTACTGGCAAATCATGCAACATAATTAGTTTCTAGTAGTCAAACTAAATGCACGAGTTATTATTTCATGAATTATTTTCTGTTTTAAATTTAAAAAACCCCCCACTGTTTTTGTGTCTCATGGTTCAGATAAAATGACCCTTTTGAAGGGTATATTTACTCATTGTATATACTGTATCTTGTCGTCCAACCTAAACTGTTCATGAAAGCAACTTTCTGCTGAGTAATGCAAACATAAAGCACATCTGCAATGCTAATGGCCCACAAAGACTCCTTCGCCTCTGACAGACCCTACCCTGTTCTCGGTGAAATCTGATACCCAGATGATTTGATTTGGCCAATTTTCAGAAAGCCACATCCTTGAAGCAACTCAGCTAAAGCCCCTGATACAGTCACCTCCAGCAGTGCAGTAAATGCACATCTTATTAAAATCAGTGAACTATATATATATATGAACTACAATGAACAAATCAATTTGTTGCGTATGATTTTGCACTTTATTATCAATTCTTCTCTTTTCCTTTTATTCAGGTCAAAACCATTTTAGAAAACAAACCTGTAGTGCTAATATGCAGCAATGACTACATTAAACAATGAGTGATGAAATAAACCATTCTTAAAAGATAGTTCTCTTATACTCACTTTGTGACCTGATTGATTACAAAGTGGTTTACACTAAGAGGTGATGTCATAGGTGGAGGGCCCATTTGCTGAACCTCAGCCCTGTTGAAAAGCTCTGACCTATCTCTACAGAAAAGGTGTCAGGCTTTTCCTGTCCAGGTTTAAGCTACCAATTGACCTCACTCAGAGAAAAGAGACAGCCATTTGGTCTTTGCTCCTACACTTTCCATACCTGCCTCTGACAGCTTTAGACTGACTTGAACCAGCACCTTTGTAATTGCTCTTGGGCTCACACAGGGCATTATGTAGGAGATCTGCTTGCCTTGGGTGTGTGCATGTCAATTCTAAGGGGGTTGGAGCCATGTGACTCTCTCTCTCCACCCTCTAGTAAATAAGCAGATTGATCTCTGGCTTCCTGACTCTTACTGGTGAGAAAAGGAGGCAGGTGATTTGGTATCGAGCACCAGTGATACACATATGTGGATTCAGAAAAGAAATCTGCTGAGAGGGAGTTTTATCTAATTGCCTAATTTCAGCTTCACTGTGGCACAGAGCAAGATAAGGAGAGAGCGGGAGAAAGGCTGCTTGTGACAGCTGACACTTGCTGCGCTGTCTGATGAGAGTGTTTATATTTCTCACAAAAGCTCTCATTTGCGATGCTTTGTACTCAGCCATGTTTTGGCTACAGAACTAGCCCAAACTCAATACTATGCTTGGCTCCAAACAAGCGGGTAAGTTCCTGTTTAATGTGTCTTGTGTTCTTTGTGTTTCTCTGCAGGCTTGAGTCTTTATATTCTGTTTTCTGCCTTGTAGGACATTTGTGTTGTGTCTTTTTTTTCTTATCTATTATGTTGTTCAAATAGGCAAATGAGCTACCTGTTTACTATACGAAGGTGAAACTGATTGGGTTGTATGGTACTTATAACACAATCTTTTACAGTATGTCCAATCTGAAAACACAACTTATGTATCTTTAAAAGTCACTAACGTCTCTCACTGCTTGCCTGAAATGGTTGTTAATTTAATGTTTCTGCTTCAGGTAATTAAAGTTTATAGTGAAGATAATACCAGCAAAGCTGTAGAAGTTCCTTCTGATGTAACTGCCCAGGATGTATGTCAGCTGTTTGTCTTGAAGAATCACTGCATTGATGATCACGCCTGGACACTTTTTGAACACCTCTCCCATCTAGGAATAGGTAAGATGATGCTGTAACAGCTACCCAGTTATTTACATCATACTAAATTTTAAAACAATGATGGCAAAAAATTATTTGCAGCATTTTCAGTCAAGTTTACCCATAAGTCTTGCAATAATCCTATCAAAATGATTCTTTTTCTTTTTAACACTCCGTTTCAAGGTTTTGAAAAAATCAGTTGTGCTTTTCAATGCAGTTAAAACTCACAAATATCAGCTTGATCTCAGCACTTTAGTTCTAACAATGAAGGATGAAAAAATACACCAATAAGCCGTACCACTAAAACCACTAACATTGGAACCTGTTGATATGTTTTGTTGTAAGTGGACCTTTTTATAAAGGCTAAATTGCCATGTCTAGGTAACTAGACCCGGTCATATCCAAAGCAGGAGGTCTTTGTTTTTACACTTTGCAGTGTGCAATAACTACCCAGAGTGGTCTAAGGAAGGACAAGTGGGAAACTGGTGACTGGGGAATGAGGGCCAAGGTTAAATGATGCTTATGATGTCAAAAAGAAGAGCTACAACAAACAAACAACAACAAATTCCTGAATGTCTCAACACTAGTTATGATAAGCTGTCAGAAAGAAGGACACAGAATAAATAATGTTATGTAACCATGGACTATGACTGTAACTGTAATTATTTATTTAACACGGTACTTTATTATATACTGGTAGATACTGTATTTGTATACAATATACAATTATCCATCTATGTGTGCGTGTACATGTGAATTTGCCAGGGATACACCTAATTTGCTGTAGATGAGAACACATATTTAGCCATTTTTAGACAAACTAGTTTCATCATTTGTTTCATCATTTGGTAATCTGTTCTGTAGATGTTGTCAGTGAGTGTGGGTTTTGTTTATTAAGCATTTTTTTTAACCTGAATTAAATCAAGATTATTGTCAGTAACAAGTATATTCATCTGATAACAACTGATATTTATTCAACTTACACTGCTGGCTGAATGCAATATGTCTTCCAGTTATTCAACAATCAGTTAAAATTCTAGGAAATAATTAAGTTCTAGGAAATAACTGTTTATGTTGTACCTCTTGTACCTCTTGCCATGCCCGTAGCTGGAGGTTACACATTAATGTAAGGTTAATAATCAAACTCTTTTCCTCAATGCAACTTTTGCTGGGGAATCATTTTCAGAGATTACTCTATTTTTCAAGAACATTTAATTCCATGTCCTCAACCTTGCTTTGACCTGATTCTAGATAGTATATTTTAATAAGAGGGAAAACAAAGAACAGGAAAAACAGCAACAGCAAAACAGGTTAACATGTCATTTCTTTGTTCTTGCTCTCACTAGAAAGAGCTCTGGAAGACCATGAGTACGTTATGGAAGTGCTTTCAAGCTGGGCGATGGACACAGACAGCCGGTTGTATTTTAGGAAGAATTATGCTAAATATGAATTCTTTAGGAAACCACTGGTGAGTTAGTAATTATACAATTCTATGTATACATATCTATAGTCATACACAGCAAGTCTCTTTGTACTAGCCCAAAATTATGTGGGTGGAAGAAGTTAATAACTGATGTCTCTTTCATATTCATAGGACTTTTTCCCAGATCACATGGTTTCCATATCGAGTGAAACCAATGGGATGGTGGATCACTGTGACCTTATACAGGTATCAGGTTCTTAGGTTCTTTATGTTTGCACTGCACTCTCTCTGCCCTGTAGTGGAGATTGTTACTGTGATTATTTAATGTACACACCCAACTAAGAACAAATATTCCTCTACCCAACGCAGACCTTTCTGAATTCCAGCACTTGTCCTGAGATCCATGGATACCTTCACGCCAAAGAGCAAAGCAGGAAGTCTTGGAAGAAGTCTTATTTTGTTTTGCGGCGGTCAGGGCTTTATTTCTCCAACAAGGGGACTTCCAAGGTTTGTAGAACAAAATAACTTGTCCACAGAATGTGTTATGAATTCTGGGAAAATCACAGGTTGTTTAAAATTATATTATTATTAAGTGGGCTATTCCATACAACCAATCTTATTGCATTACACCAGTTCATTTTCTAAAAATCCACATCTGTACATTGGACGAGGGGTACTTTACAGAAGAAAGATATAGGATGAAAAATGCATTGTTCCAAATGGAAAACTATACTGTTGTTTAAATTTCTAGGGATTGATACAGGACCTCTGTTTGTGCATTTTGGGCCACCTCTTCATGTTCTGGCTACATCTCACTCATGTTGTGAGAGGAGAGTGAAACAGGTTGAGCTGGATTTTCATTAGGTCAGCTGGCACAGCAGCCATGCAGAAACTGTACTCACAATGCTGCTGACAATTGAAGCTTATACCTAGCCACCAGGCACGCTAACACATCCACTTTTCAACTCCTTTCATTTTCTACAACAGTAGACCTTTTGTTGTTAAGTGCAGGTTGACCTTGGCAAGGCGCCCACTTTTAGTCTATCGTGTTTACTCTTCTTCTTTGGTTTTGGTCAGATGTTTGCTAGTCAGTTACCACAGACACTAATGACTGTGGCGTAACATTAAAAAAAGACATAGGAATAGTGAGTCACATGAAAGCAGGACAATGAAAGTCTGTGAGGTTTTTTTTTTTTGTAAAGTTATCCTTGAAACAAAATAGCTATTGATACCATCGCAATACAGCCGCTATCAACATATCTAAATTTATCCTTATCTTTTGGTTACATTAAGAGAGTAACCACACCCAGAATGGTTGATAATGTGTTATTATTAGATGAAAATGTACTGTTTACCCATCATATACAATGATCCAAAGCATGCTTTGACATAAATGTAGATATCATTTATCGTTTACTCTTGTAAAACAAATATGTTATGGTCTTTTAATTACATTGCAATCCAAAGATAACATGAATTGCTTAAATCCTGTCTTTGGAAAATAGCTCATTTTGAAATCAACCCTAGCAACACGACAAAAATAAAACTGGTAGGCAACAAAGTACCTGTGCAAATTTGTCTAATTTTAAAAACTTAATGATAAGACACACAGTCAGCTGTTCATCACGTCAGTAAAGGTTTCTGCATTTGAAAAATCTGCTGTTGAGTTTGTGTGTTTCAGTGTTATTTGGCTTATTTTCTGTTACATTTTAAAATAGTTAGCTTGTGTGTCTTTGATTGTTTTGCCTCTGTTGTTTTCCCTCTCCTGTCCCTTTTCGCTCAACGCTTTTTGTTTTGTCGCACAGTCCGTCTGTCCATGTCATGTCTCTAATTTCTGTCCTTGGTCAGTTCACCACAACAATATTGCAGAGAAGCTTTATATTGTAAATTAAAGACCCTACAATGTTGTAGGAGAACTCCCCAAAATCCACTATGACCAAGCACTTGGCAACAGTGAAGAGGAAGAACTCTGTTTTACTGTTTAACTGGAAAAAAATCTATAACTAAGCAGGCTCAGGGATGGGTAACCATGTAAGTCAACTGCAAAGAAGATCATAGATACAACATACAATTCAAACTACTGGAGAACAATGTAATAAGTTAATATCTGTTTGGTAAATGAGAAGAAGTGTTCCCAGCATGTGGATTCTATGACAGCATAGTAATAGGTCATTCAGGGTCACCTGATTCAGGAGTGGAGTCTGATAACTAAAGGCCCTACCTCCCTAAGAACGTTTATTCTTGGAAACTCTAGGAATAAAAAACAAAAATGACCCCATGGGTTGTTTTTCTTCAAAATCTTTAAAATGCAAAGTTGTAATATATTCATATTCCAGGTATTCCTCATAAAATATGTTTGTAACATGAGGCCATTTGCATTTTTATTTATTTTTTCATTAATTTAAAAAATGCAGTTTTTGTATCACTACCCCACTCTTCCACAAGTGGGGTCAAAAATGACCCCAAGCAGTTCCTATGGAATCTTTTATGAAACTTTCATTCTTAGCAGCTCCAACCGTCCCACTTACACTTCTGATGGATCAAGAATTAATTTTTACACAGTAACATACATGATTTATAGTCAGGGCTGCACATAAGTGGTCCACAGGTGCGCATTCGCTGTCAAAATAAAAGTATTCCCGGAAATTCAGAGAATATGTGCCTCTTTTGTGGTGGAGATAGTAATTGCTTACGAGCTTGCTTCTTCGACATCTTTAAGAGTTCTGAACAAATGTCTGTCCTCCTCCAGAACATCTAATGTACGCAAACGAGTGTTCCAACTTCTTATCTGGTACGCGTCTTTTATTTTGACAGCAAATGCGCACCTGAGGACCATTTATGTGCAGCCCTGTTTATAGTTTCCTGTGCATTTAAAACATTGTCCTTTCTGATGTTTTTAAAAAAAAAAATATTTAAAGTAACGTGGCTGCTATGAGGCCAGCTAGGATCCCTGTGGACCTTGCCCTACAAATGATCCAGGACAGATGGGATGAAGAGCCCATCGGTGGCATTGACTCAGAATCTGACATCTCAGATATAGAGGACCCAGACTATTGTCCCCCCCTCTGAACAAGGCCAGTCAGATACAGAGGAGTCCTCTGATGAGTCCTCTGAAGAGGAAATGGATATTGAGTCTAACAAAATGAGCCCCTCTTACTGCTCTAGCCACAATATTCTGAATTAGTAGGCCAGGGCTTGCATCTGGGTCTAGTACTGTCTCCCCAATAGATGCGTGGAAGATGTTCATGTCTGATAATATAATAGAAGAGGTGCTGACATGCACAAACACGGAGGCACGAAGAGTAGCAACAGACAGAGGAAAAGAGTGGAAAAATGTAATCAAACATAAGCTCCTGGCCTTCATTTGATTGACCATTCTTGCAGGAAGTGAGAAGAACTAGGATGTACCAGTCGGTGTGGTTTTGGGAGTCCTCTGCATAACCCATTGTACAAGGCCACTATGTCAATTCAAAGATTTAAAGATATTCGCCGTTTCTTGCACTTTGATGACAAGAGGACCAGAGCCTACTGACTGAAAACAAATCACAACCGAGTTTATAGCAAAATGCATTCTTTCTATTTGGGGTCATTTTTGACAAGTTTTTCCTTTTTAAGACTTTTAATTATTTTGTAATTTTCAATTATTTTAGTATTTCATTTTTTTTGCATTTGTGATCACATCAAAAAAAACACAGAAATGTTCAAATACAGATACACTCAGCACTCACCTGAGATGTTTCTGTATTCCAGGTATAGACATGAAGGCTTAAGATTGTTTCATGTGCTGTTTTATACTTCACACCTCCAGTCCATACCTGTTCTGTACCTTTGTCTTATTATGACCTCTCTGTGTTTAACAGGAACCAAGACATCTCCAGTTCTTTGCTGACTTCAGTGACAGTGATGTCTACACTGTTTTGGCAGCCAAAAAACTACACGGGGCACCTACAGAATTTGGCTTCTGTGTGAAGGTAAGAGCAGTATTGTAACTGATGTTGTTACTATAAAACAGAGACATGCCAAAACTGTATAGAAGGAGCAGATGCACGCTGATTCACAGGGCTGTTTTCTTTTCTTCCAACTTCTCACCTCAGTCCACAAAATGCAGTTCTGCCCGGGACTTGAAGCTGCTTTGTGCAGATGACGAGCAGACCAGGACCTGCTGGATTACAGCCATGCGCTTGTTAAAGGTTGGCTTGCTGATAAATAACTCTGGGTGATATCTAAGAGTAGGAATGCTGAGTCAGTGTTTGAATCAGATTTAGCTTTGGGAGGAGGTCAAGGGAAGCTTTTGAGTGATGCTGGAAAATCACTCCCACTCTTGATAGAAGCAGCATGTGTTCATTGTCTGGATATAATCTGGATACAATTTAGAGCATTACTCACCCCTGCTAGTCCACAAATTATATACACAGTGCATTGCAACATATTTACTTGTACCTGCCATTTGTAATCACTACACCATTGGTCTGGAAGGATTATGGGTTAACACACAACAAATGTTTGGATTAAATTGCACAATTTTAATCACTTCTTTTTTCCTGTGTTTTAGTTTGGGATGCAACTTTACCAAAATTTCATTCAGCCACACCAGAAGCAAAAAGCCTCACCAATGGTTAGTTAATGTTTTTCTTGTTTTAGTAATTATACTAGCTTTATATTTTATTATTTTGTCTCATATGTGGCAAGTTACCTGTTTTTAAAGCTACTTTAAACACAATTTTGGTTAGCAACAACTTGAATGATTGTGTGAACCAGCAGGTTAGTGTGGCAACCCTACATGGACCTTTTCACTGCAGACATTTTGACTTGTCACAGTAAGCAAACAGCGGGTGAAATAATAATGGTTCACTTCAATTTTGTGTCCCAGTAACCCTTGACAGTAAAACGGCTTCCACAAAAGCAAGACTTAAGTAGAATCTAGCCATCACCTATACACCTTTTGCTTTTCTTAGTGTGACTCCTGTGAAGTATTTCTATAACTGACAAACTTTCAGTTTTCTTCAATAATAAGGAACCTTTTAAAAAGCTTTATTTGCCCAAGTTAAGCTCATGCTTTTGTTGCTCTAGCCCACAATCCTGATAGCGCAGAATCTACAGCCTACAATTCAAACAAACAGATAACATTAGCAAACAGTTAGGAAGTACAGTATTATATTTAGCAGGTAAAAAGTTATCAGATTCTACGAAAGCTAAAAAATAAAGTGCACTGGACATACATTCATTTGGTGAAATATAAATCTTCAAAATAATGCCCCTCTGTCTGGTGTAGCTTGAAAGACACAAAAGTAACATGAGCCAGCAAATAGTGGTGTGGCAATATAATTGTATGGAGCAAATGAGGAATCTGCGGTGTCCCAGAATAGCCTTAGACTGCGCTGAGAGTATTTTTGCAACAGCAGACACAGTCTATTTATGGGTAATGAACATGTTCATGAACTACTCGCTTTCTAAAAATACATAGTGATCAGCTGTCCACAGATTTAACAACTTGTCACCTCTTCTCTAGTGTTGGAGTGTCATGTGTTGCCAATAACTTTACTGAGAGGATTTGCTAGAAAGACAGGAGAATAAATGAATATCTTAAATGCAATGTCGGGCTATTTAGACAAACTAGAATACTAGATTACTGCTTCATTGCACTGAGTTAAAAACAAAGCCCTGCTCTTATGCTGATTAGCACATTTATAAGTAATAGGATTTATCTTT